GGGGGTTTGAGTGCCAAAAAGCCGGACATGTCCGGGAAAAAGAGGACATATGGTAAACCTAGTTGAGGGGGTCTCTCACAGCACAGCCTCATGGGCACAGAAGGTGCTGCTGGTGTGCACTGCAGGCTTATTGGGCACCCACATGGGTGCCCTGAGTAGGCTCATGGATTCACCGTGTGTGAAATAGTCCTTCCCAGAAATCTTCATTTTAGGTCAGAGTAAATCATCCACCACATAGGATGGATTTAGCCCACATGAGGTATTTATTTGAATCCCAGTGCAGATTCAGAAGCTGCAGAATGCAAAATATGGTTTAAAAGAAAATTGTTACAATGATTCAGTGTATACTTAAACAGTCTTGGGCCCAAATCCTGATTTCAGTGCTCAGCAGCTGGCTAGATTTAGCCCTTTGTCGTTTTACATAAATTCTCTTCAATCTAAAGTCTGTATTTTTCTAAATTTTGGCCCCAATCCTGCAAACAATCCTCACTATACATATGATAGGATGGGGTCTAAATTAGCTGTAACACTCAAGAAAGATTTTGGGAGTCATTGTGGATAGTTCTCTGCAAACATCTGCTCAATGTTCTGCAGCAGCTAAAAAAGCTAACAGAGTATTAAGAACCATTAGGAAAGGGATAACTAATAAAACAGAAAATATCATTATGCCACTATATAAATGCATGGTATGGCCATACGTTGAATACTGCATGAAGTTCTGGTCACCCCAGCTGAAAAAAGATATATTAGAATTGGGAAAGGTACAGAGAAGGGCAACAAAAGTGATTAGAGGTATGTAAGAGCTTCCATATGAGGAAAGATTAAAAAGACCAGACTGTTCAGTTTACAAGAGAGACCTAAGAGGGGATATGAGAGAAATCTATAAAATCATGAATGGTGTGGAGAAAGTGAATAAGGAAGTGTTATTTATCTCCTACATAACACAAGAACTAGGAGTCACTCAATGAAATCAATAGGCAGCAGGTTTAAAATAAAAGGAAATAGTTCACACAATGCACAGTCAACCTGTGGAACTCATTGCCATGGGGTGTTGTAAAGGCCAAAAGTATAACTGGATTCAAAAAAAGAATTAGATAAGTTCCTGGAGGATAGGGCCATCAATGGCTGTTATCCAAGATTGTCAGGGAGATAACTCTATCCTCTGGGGGTCCCTAAACTTCCAGCTACCAGAAGCTGAGACTGAATGACGGGATGTATCACTTGAAATTGTGCTATTCTTTTCATTCCCTCTGAAGCATCTGGCACTAGCCACTATCAGAGACTGTAAACTGGGCTATTCATTGGTCTGATCCACTCCTGTGGCTATTCTTATGTTCTAAAGACACACACATAACTTTACACACATTTCTGCAATGGCCTGCTCATATGAGTAAAATTACACACATGCTTGGGCTCTGATCCTGCAAATACTTGTCTAGCCACCAGTACATTATACGTTTAAGGAGCAACATTTTTCCTTGTGCAGACAGCCACACCTCTGGACAATAATACTGTCCTAAGAACTTTTCTCAGAGAAGCTGATACAAAAAGTTGTATTAACAGAGTATGTTTTTATAAAATGCTGCTTTTTTATTATTCTTTTTCATGTTGCTTGCTTATCCTCATACTGTCTTAATAAAGGTTAGTTGCTATTTTCTCCAATAATTAATTGTTCTATCTTTAAAATAGTGTTAAATTATTTCCTTAATGTGTGAGAACTGGGTTATGGAAGTGATGTTTGCATGTTATTGGTGTGATTCCTATTTGTATTATGGGTAGTGACCTGGAAGCCCTAACCAAGGGCTAGATCAGTGGTTCCCAAACTGGAGGGTGCGGAGGAACATCGGGGGGCGCACAGAAGGGTCCAGACCAGCCGCCACGGAGGGCGGGAAGGAGTGCTACCCAGCACTCTGGGTGCCACTCTGCCCCCGGCCCTGCCCTGCCCCAGCTGCAGCTTGGGCTCCAGCCGTGGCTCTCTGCCAACCCTCGGCCTCAGCTCCAAGCTCCCAGTTGAGGTTCCGGGGTGGGGGGTGCGGACAGGTTCCCTTATGGTGGGGGGGGCGTGATAGAAAATGTTGGGGACCACTGGGCTAGATGCTACCCCAACACATGACAAGAGACAGCCCCTGTTTCGAGGGCTTGCACTCTAAACACACAGAGTGACGTGACTTGCCCGAGGTCACGCCAGGGGCCAAGCCAGGACTGGAACCCAGGCGTCCTGGCTCCCAGGCCGCTGCTCTAGCCACTAGCAGCGCACCCTGCAGGGCGCTATCCGTGTCTTTCTCCTGATTGGCCAGGCACAAGTCATGGGAGCCCCGCCCCCAGCTGCGTGGCCCCGCCCCCTGCGGAGGTTGTATCAGTCGCTGTCGCCGCCGTTCCGGCACGTCGCCCGCGAGAAGTCAGGCCGTTAGCCATGCCGGGACTGCTGCTGGGGGACGAGGCCCCCAACTTCGAGGCGGACACCACGCACGGCCGCATCCGCTTCCACGATTTCCTAGGAGACTCGTGAGTAGCGCAGGCTGGGGGACCCCGGGCTCCTGCCCGCCCGCGGGCCCGGGGTAGGGGATAGGGACCCCCCCACCGTCCCGGGTTGGGGGGCGGAGCTCGGGATCTGCGGGGGAGGGCTGGGTTGCCAGCTCTTGCGGGGGCGGCTGGCTTCTCTTCTTTCTCTCAGAGGGCTATAGGCGTGGGGGCTTCTCTTCTCTCTCTGGGTGGAGCTATAGGGTTAAGGGGCCTGGGGGATTCCTCTTTCCTTCTCTCTGGGGGGGCTATAGGGCTAGGAAATGAGGGGGGAGAAGTGGCTGGGTTCTTTTCCTCAATGGAGGGTAGGGGATAATGGCTGACAGTGGGGTTAGCTGGAGGGCTGGGTTTTGTCCTCTGCACAAATGATATCAGGCACATTAAGAAACTTGGAATAATTGTATTCCTGACTCCACATCCCCCAAACCTGTTCTCTCTTTGCCCAGCTCTCTCCCTCTCCCCCCGCCCCATACATTCCTCACGCTGTTGTCTCCCCACACCCACACACATGCCTTGCCTACACCAGAAAGGGGAGTATGCCAGTATAGCTTATACTAGTGTCCCTGTGTCTACAGTTGGGCTATTGCTGGCATAACCTTTAAAGTATCAACCAAAATTCCACATGCCTTGGGCCCAGTTCTGTTCTTGCTTATACCAGTGTTGATCTAGAACAGGGATGGGCAAACTTGTTGGCCCAAGGGCCACATCTGGGTAGGGAAATTGCATGCAGGGCCATGAAAGTAGGGCTGGGGCAGGAGGTGAGAGGGGGTGTGGTGTGCAGGAAGGGGCTCAGGGCAAGGGGTTGGGGTGCAGGGTTTACGAAGGGGCTCAGGGCAGGGGGTTAGGGTGCAGGGGGGCTCAGGGCAGGGGCTTGGGGTGCAGAGTGTGGGAGGGAGCTCAGGGCAGGGAGTTGAGGTGCAGGAGGGGGCTCAAGGTTGGGGTGCAGGAGGGGTGTGGCAGGGGGATGGGGTGTGGGCTCTGGCCTGGCGCTGCTTACCTTGAGCAGCTCCAGGGTGGCAGCGCCGTGCTGTGGGACCAAGGCAGGCTCCCTGCCTGCCCTGGTCCTGTGCTGCTCTCAGAAGCAGCTGGCACAACATCCCTGCGGCCCCTGGGGGTGGGGGGGCAGAGGGCTCCGCGCACTGCCCTCACCTGCGGGTACTTCCCCCAAAGCTCCCATGGGCCACGGTCCCCCGTTCCCGGCCAATGGGGGCAGTGCCTGCAGACGAGGGCAGCATGTGGAGCCCTCTGCCCCTCCACTCCCCTAGGTGCCGCGGGAACGTGGTGCTAACCGCTTCCGGGAGTGGCGCGGGGCCAGGGCAGGCAGGGAGCCTGCCTTAGCCCCATGGCGCCACAGGGGTGGCAATCCTACGGACCAGATCCCCGGACCGTGGTTTGCCCACCCCGATCTAGAATAACTGATTCAGTGGTGTCATTCCAGATTTAAAGAAGGGTCACTGAGAGCAACATTTGACTCATGACCTGGCTTTTCATTCTATTTCTGTATAGGCTTTTCTCCTTGAGTTCATGGTGTAGGTAAATTTGTTGCACTCCAGTGTCACAAATGAGTCTGATTCTCCTCTATAACTGTTACATTGAACAACTCAGAGCCATGTTGGGTTTTTCTTCATGTTTCACTTGAAGTCAATGGGAATCTTACCATTTAGTTTAATGGGGCAGGGTTTCACCCCAGTTTTTGGAGTGATGCTCTGACTTCACCACTTCTTTTGGAGATAAGCTACATACATTAAATAGGTGAGCAGCAGTGCAGAGATTCTGAGACTAGCAGCTTCAGTCCTGCCTCTTACTATTCCGTACCTGAGTTTGTCCATTGGGGTAAATGAGGCTTAGTTCATTAATGCTTGCACAGTGCTTTGTGACACTCTGGGACCCTGAATGTTGTATTTGTAGTGTGGGCAGATCCACAGACTTCATATCATCATGGGTAAAGTTTGTGACTTCTGGTCACAGTTGTCCCTATGCCCTTTAAATGCAACTGCAATATGTAATATATTTTCTGACAGAACTCAGAATTTAGAAAAAACTGCCATTTTCAGTTTCTGGTCCTCCTGCTGTAGCATAAGGCAGTTCTAGCGAGGTTTTGATTTCCAATCACTACAGCAGAATGTTTAAAGTAAAACAAAATTTTTCAATGAAGCTTTTAACTTTCTAAAGGCACTTCTATTAGTTTCTATAAAATTTCTTACAAATTTTAAAATGTTGGGACTAAGCTGTCTGGCCATCCCTTGAAGTTTGAAATAGTTATTTCCATAGTAAGACAGGCCAGTATTTTGTTTTTTCACAATCGACAGCTCAATGCATAATGTACCTTCCTGGTGAAGTCTGCATAGGATCTAGACCAGAGGTGGGCAAACTACAGCCCGCGGGACTGTCCTGCCCGGCTCTTGAGCTCCCAGCTAGGGAGGCTAGCCCCCGGCCCTTCCCCTGCTGTCCGCCCTCCCCCGCAGCCACACTGCTGTGCAGGCAGCGCTCTGGGCGGCAGAGTGGTGTGCTCCTTCAGAGCAGAGCGGCAGCATGTCTAGCTCCGGCCAGGGGACGCGGCTGCCAGACATACTGCTCTGAGCGGCATGATAAGGGGGCTGGGGGGGTTGGATAAGGGGCGGGGGGTCCCGGAGGGCAGTCAGGGGAGCAGGGGGCAGTTGGATGGGGCAGGGAAAGGGGGGGTTGCATAAGTGTGGGAGTCCCGGGGAATCTGGTGGGGGTGTGGATAGGGGTCGGGGCAGTCAGGAATTGGATAGGGGGTGGGGTCCTGGGGGGCGGTTAGGGGACAAGGAGCAGGGGGGGTTGGATAGGTCGACAGTTCTGAGGGGGGCAGTCAGGGGGCGGGAAGTCGGAGGGGGCAGATAGGGGTGGGAGCCAGGCTGTTTGGGGAGGCACAGCCTTCCCTACCCGGCCCTCCATACAGTTTTGCAACCCCAATGTGGCCCTCGGGCCAAAAAGTTTGCCCACCCCTGATCTAGACTGTCTGTTGCTCACCAATGCAACACAGCAAGTACAGTAGTTAAAAGGGGACTGAGGATTTAGATAACAACAGTTACTATTCAGTCTAAAGATCATGCATCTTCTGTAACACTAATAGGGAGCATGCCGTAGTGTGAAATACAAAGTGCTCAGCCCACATTGTCAGAATATGTGTTATCAGGCCAGTCGCTCAGTACCCGAGGATAACACTTACTAGTATGAACCAGAATGGGATTTGGAAAGAACAGGATCCCATTTAGGCTTTGAAACAGCTGAGTCATTTCTGACCTTGTGTAAACAAGCTCTAATATTTCATGTCAGATTACTCATTAAATAACAAAAAAGGCAAACAGATCAGACAGTGGAACTTGGAAACAAATCTGCATTTTTATACCCTATTTCCCCAAGGGGGAAGTATAAAAGAATATTAACTTTCACGCTATGTATAGAACAATCTCAGCCCCCAAAGCAATGTGACTGAAATAAAAAAAAGCTGCTGTGCCAGTTTGTTCAATATCCATTGTCCAATGTTTGCTCATCTGAAATTATAGTAACAGTCATTTCAAATGCGTTGTATAGGTCTGGGATGACAGCAGTTTCCTCGTAGGGCATTAAAAGGCAGTAATTTTCTAAGATAATCTGGTGGCATGAAATTAAGGAAAATTTAAGAGTACGTAGAGGATGTATGCTGCTGGAGGCAGTTCACATGGTGCTGGCTGTCAGGTGCACTGAATGGGGGAATAGAAGGAAACGTGTTAGATTTGGTAGTGAAGGAAGTAAGGATAGTAAAAAGCTGAAATCGCCATGCTGGGGCAGTGCCACCATTATGTGACTTGATTTGAGCTGGAGAAGCCACTGTGATCATGAGTGTCACTGGACTGCTGCTGGGCCCTTAGTGGAGTCTGATGGCAGCACAAAACTCAGCCCTGCAGAAGGGGATGGTTTTGAAATGGTCTGTGTTCATGTATGCCATGAGGAAACAGTCTGTCACCATAGTGCCCAAAGCTTGCCACCTGAGGGCCAAATATATTACTTCAAAAGGGCAGCAGACAGCCAAGGGGAGGGACAGGATTATGGGAATGCTCCTGGCACTGCTCCTGCACCCATTTCCCTCAGGTAGCAGCAGGACTGATGATGCAGAGGCCTCAGGGCACAGCTAAGGGTATTTGCTTTCCATTCATAATCAAACACATGTTCTGCTTATCACAGTTGCCCTACAGGGTCACAGACTAGGCACCACTGCTCTAGCACTCATAGCAGGATACTGGGAATCAAACTGGGTTCTCTTCTATCGTACCCTTCCTGTGACTTGACTTCCCAGAGCCTCAGTTTCCTTATCTGTGACGTGGGTGCTCCCTCTTAGCGATATGATCTCAGTTCATTATTGTATTTGCAGTATTTTGGCCTAGTCTACACTAGAATATTAGGTTGGTTTAACTACATTGGTCAACGGTGTGAGAAATCTACACCCCTGAGCGGTGGTGTTACACCGACCGAAATCCCCAGGTAAACAGCACTAGGTTGTTGAAAGAATTCTTCTGTTGACCTAGCTACTGCCTCTTGGGGAGGTGAATTACCTACGTCTACGGAGGTAGTGTCTACACTGAAGTGCTACAGCAGCACAGCTGTATTCATGTAGCATTTCAAGTGTAGACAAGCCCTTTGAGATCCTTGCATGGAAGGCATCGTTGAGGTGCAAAGTTTTCTGTAAACTTGGGTTGCAGTTTTTATGCCAAGATTAGCAACGGTGGAGTGAATTGATTCCATTCCAAGCCCAATCTATAAATTATACTTATCTTAGCAATGCTTAGTATATTTCAAAGCACTCTACAAGGGAGGGATAAGACCATTCTCCCATGTTATAGGTAGGTGGTGCTGGTGGAAATGAAGCACACAAAGCTTATCTAAGTAGTGGGGGAGGTTAATTTAAAAAAATCCAGATCCGTCTGGGACTAGGGTTCATATTTACATATCAGAATCATTTACCTGGCCTTTGTCTGAACTTGGGGATGGAACAGACTGAGGTTTGCTGTGGCAGCAGAAGTAGTAAGTATACTGGCCTCGTTTGGCTGTTTAGGATGGTGACTTTTGGATGCAGTTGAATCTGAAAATCCCTCTATTTTAAAAAAAAATAGTTATTGAGGGTCAAGACACTGGCCAGGAGCCCCAGCTTGTCTGTGTCTGTGCCAGAGAAGGGAATGTCCATAAAATCAGATTCCTATAAGTGCACCACTCTTCAAAATCCATTGCTAGGTTTCTAGGCTCAGTCATGGGTTTTCATAATCCTCAGCCTGTTACCCTCTGTACACCCAGTTCAGCATTTGACCTTTGCAAGTATCTGTACTGAACTACAAACTATTTGAGCGTAGTTCATTCTGCACCACTCAGTCTGCTAAATAAGCAAAGGAAGTAGGGCTGTCGATTAATTGCAGTTAACTCACACGATTAACTCAAAAATTAATTTGGCTGTTTTTCTACATTTTCATGTATATTGTATTCTGTTATATACATTTTGATTTCAATTCCATTTTTATTATAAATATTTGCACTGTAAAATGATAAACAAGAAATAATATTTTTCAGTTCACCTCATACAGGTACTGTAGTGCAATCTTTGTCATGAAAGTGCAACTTACAAATGTAGATTATTTTTGTTACATAAAAACTCAAAAACAAAACAATGTTAAACTTCAGAGCCTACAAGTCGACTCAGTCTTACTTCTTGTTCAGACAATTGCTAAGATAAACAAGTTTGTTTACATTTACAGAAGATAATGCTGCCCCTCTTCTTATTTACAGTGTCACCAGAAAGTGAGAACAGGCATTTGAATGGCACTTTTGTAGCTGGCATTGCAAGATATTTACGTGCCAGATAGGCTAAACATTTGTATACCCTTTCATGCTTCGGCCACCATTCCAGAGGACATGCTTCCATGCTGATGATGCTCATTAAAAAAATGCATTAATTAAATTTTGTAACACAATTCTCCCCCAAGGAGTTCAATGTCCTCTGTGCTGTGTTTTACCTGCATTCTACCATATATTTCATGTTATAGCAGTCTCGGATGATGACCCAGCACATGTTGTTCATTTTAAGAACGCTTTCACTGCAGATTTGACAAAACACAAAGAAAGTAGCAATGTGAAATTTCTAAAGATAGCTACAGCACTCAACCCAAGATTTAAGAATCTGAGAGGGACGAGGTGTGGAACATGCTTTCGGAAGTCTTAAAAGAGAAACACTCTGATGCGGAAACTACAGAACCCAAACCACCAAAAAAGAAAATCAACCTTCTGCTGGTGGCATCTGACTCATGATGATGAAAATGAACATGCGTCAGTCAGCATTGCTCTGGATCGTTATTTAGCAGAACCCCTCATCTGCATGGACGCATGTCCCCTGGAATGGTGGTTGAAGCATTAAGGGTCATATGAATCTTTAGCGCATCTGGCACGTAAACATCTTGCAACGCCGGCTACAACAGTACCATGACTACACCTATTCTCACTTTCAAGTGACGTAAATAAGACGCGGGCAGCATTATCTCCTGCAAATGTAAACAAACTTGTTTGTCTGAGTGATTGGCTGAAAAAGAAGTAGGACTGAGTGGACTTGTAGGCTCTAAAATTTTACATTGTTTGAGTGCAGTTTTTTGTACATAATTCTACATTTGTAAGTTGCACTTTCATGATAAAGTTATTGCACTACAGTACTCATATTAGGTGAATTGAAAAATACTATTTTTTTTACAGTGCAAATACTTTTAATCAAAAATAAATATAAAGTGAGCACTGTACACTTTGCATTCTGTGTTGTAATTGAAATCAACATATTTGAAAATGTAGAAAACATCCAAAAATAGTGATAGAGGGTATTCTATGATTAACAGTGTGATTAATCATGAGACAGCCCTAAAAGGAAGTGCAATTGGGAGTTACTTCCAATTTTATGTTGCTCCCCATGGTGTATTTTGAAAATTGACAAGTCTATAGTAGCCAAACTTGGCAGATTTTCTGCCTTATCTCTACTCAACAGTTTGAGTTTTTATATTTCAGTGATGTTACAAGTTAGCTGCGTAGTTTTCACCAGATAATATACTGTAATAAAAAGGTGCCAACCCATTAACAACCATGTTAAATACACTAATTCAGATCTACATGAGCTAAATTGTAACTTGTTTTGTCCCTGGGTAAACACTGTTGTTGCAGATCAAATAAGATGGAGGCTGCACAGGCTAGTGTGGACTAATATGTTTCATGTTACTGTGGGTCAAGTAAAAAAAAATGCTGTGTGGCAAGTACAGTACATATTTTGGGTCAGGATTTTTCTGAGATATACTTGGTGTTGGGATTACTAATGAGCTCACGGCGTGAGCTCCTGTCACTTTTAGCTGTTATTGAGATACCAGTTACCTAGCTAAAAGTGTTCTAAGAAATGTTCACATCTTCATTTTTAAGTATTGAGTCATACTTATAGAAATTTCTTCATCTGTGAAGACTCTTTGTAATCGTGCTTATGTGGGCTGTTTCCCCATTTTTTTTAAACGGTCCTTCCCCAGCTCATCAATGGGGAGGTGATGTGGCCTGCTGGATAGAGCACTGGACTGTGATGCAGGAGATCCCCACTCCCCTCCAACTCTGCCACTGACCTGATATGACTTGCCCATGCTCACCTGTCCCCTCTGCATGCCTCAGTTTACCCATCTATAAAAGAGGTTCAGGAATACTGACCACCTTTATAAAGCACTTGAATATCTACTGATAAAAAGCACTATATAAGAGCTAGGTATTATTTATCACACCAGAACCTAGAGCTATCACAGCACATCAGCTGCTAACTACTAATATTCTGAGGTTCAATATAACAAACCAGGCCAGGACAAGACCCATCACCTTATTTTGAAGGGGTGTCCCCATCAAGAGGTGATTGCCTAGATGAAAACTGCATATAAGGTGGTAATTGGGGTTGTAAAATATCAGTGACCCTTTCAGGATGTTAATTCATGTGACTTAGTAGCAGAGTCTTGTTCCAGTGGCACTAAAAAGTGCTAGTGTGTACTGTATACATTGGCATTAACTCTATGGTGATTCTACTTGACAAAGAAATGCAGCAATATTTGTCCTGGAGGATGGGAGCGGAGGTGGCAGCCACTGGAGACAAATCACTTTAAAGTTTTTTAGTTACTGTATTATCTTTTGATACGGTGACATGTGAACTGTGGGCATCATTAAGGTAATGTGGAGAGGCACAACAGGGCGATGAGAATGAATAGTGAGGATTGGGGAGAAGAGTTCTAAAAGCCTGAAGGCTCATTCTGCAAGATTTGTTTCACCTCAGCCTCTTACAATGACAGAGACACAAGGAGGATCTCTTAAAGGAATTCCTTGCTCACTTGATGAGATGAACAGTGCATTTAATTCCTGAGGCTAGCAAGCTTAAAATACCATCTGCAGCTGGGTATTTCTCTGTGTGTCTAACAGATTCCTAATCAGAATCTGGGCTCATTCTGTTGTTGTCTTCCATTCTGTTCCCTTTCAGATGGGGCATCCTCTTCTCTCATCCCCGTGACTTCACTCCAGTCTGCACCACTGAGCTGGGTCGAGCAGCAAAGCTGGCCCCTGAGTTCAGAAAGCGCAATGTTAAAATGATAGCCCTCTCTATTGATGATGTCAGTGACCATCTCGCCTGGAGTAAGGTATGCTGGGGGTGAAGAGGTGGCAGCAGGGAACTCTGTGAGGGAGCCCCGAATAACTGCCTGTATTATTAGCATGCAGAAGGGTTGGTCTTGCTTTGTAACATAAGCACACTAATGGAATAAAGCCATTGACTGACAGACATACTCTCGTTCGCCAATACATATGGTAGGTGTAGTATACACCACATTAATAGGTATGTGTACACAATACAATAAATGTGGCTAAATTCGGTCTCTTGAACATTTTTAAGAACAAACTGTCAGTGTAGTTAAACAATTGGCCAGGCTACACCTTTTCATCACTACTCTACCTCCACCCCAGGTTCTGGGTCTCAGAAATCTTTGCTGCTTGTAGTTTTTTTTTTGGTTTTGACTCTCTCCCACACCTGATCAGTGGGCTCAGTATTTTGATCTGAGTGCAGATATTTGTAATTTTATTAGAGGATATGACTCGGCTGGCTCAGCTCTGCCCTGTCTATCCCTCACCTTTTCTTTTCGTTCTTCAAGTGGTTGATTGTCAAACTTTGAAGCCAAGGCTCTGCCTCCACCATATGGAAATGAGTCTGGAGTATGGCTTTATATTAGTCACTTCCTTAATGCTGCCTTAATCAGTCTTGGCATAGTCCAGTGTTCATGGCATCCTAATCATTCTTACGGCATAAAATTACTTCAAACTAGGAGTCAGACAGGAGGGAGTTTCCTAATGTATATGGGAACCAAATAATGCCCTCAGAGAACAGTCAGCAATCACTGAGACCTGCGGGATAGACTGAGAAAAGGGTCGTGGTTGATAACCACCTGAACGTGCACTCCCAGTGTGGTGCCTGGTCAAGAGAGCTGACATTATCCTTAGCTGTGCAAGTTGGAAAATGAGTGTGAGTAGGGATGTGGTATTAAGTCTGTATTGGACTATAGTGAGACCATTACTGGAATATTGTGCACAGTGCTAGTATCAACACTTCAAAAAAGATGTGGAAATATTGGACAGGGTTTAGAAAAGAGCCACGAGGGATTTCAGGTCTGGAAAACGTGCTTTTTAATGAGCTTTGAAGTTCAGTCTACTTAGCTTATCAAAGAGAAGACTAAAGGTGCTTTGGTCATCTTCTGGAAGTCCCTACAAGAAGAGAAGGTTTATGTAAGAGAGGACTCTAATCCACAAGACAAGGCAGAACACGATTCTGTATCTGGAAGTGGGAAGCCAGACAAGTTCAGACTAGAAATAAAGTGCAAATGTTTGAGTGAGGCTAGTGAACTATTGGAACAATTTACCGAGGGATGTGGTAGCTTCTGTATCACTTAAAGTCTTAAATCAAGATTGGATGTCTCCTTTCTGAGAGATCTGTTCTAGTTCAATCAGAAGTTACATGCCTGAGGCAGGAATTACTATGTGAAAGTCTATGGCCTGTTATGCAGGAGGGTCAGACTAAGATCATAATCCTTGCCTTAAAATCTATGAATAACTTCTCCTCTGAGCTCTTGTGAATGCATTTCAATCCTGACTTGCAATAACCCCAGCTGTTCCAGTCCTCTGTCCCCACAGAGTTCTACCAATACAACTGAATATTGGGCTCCAGCAATTACTGCTGTTCTATTCATGGGTGGCTCTAGCAAACATTGCCAATTGTCATGAGCTGGGAGATAGTCTCACTGTTGAAGTGCTCTATAGACGTACAGCATTATAGAAAACTTTGAAATGTCTGTTTAATGTGCACAAGTTTCCACTGGAAACTAGAGATTAGGCCTCAAAATGGTTCCTAAAAGGAAAATGAACTAGGATTTGAATCCGACTGCTCAGTCTCCGCATCCTGGTAGGGATGGTGTGAATCATAAACAGCAGCTGACTCTGACAATGGCATGACACCTTCACCAGTTAGTTAATATGAGTTTGAGAGTACAGGGTCACACTGGGACTGTGAGCTTTTGAAGTAAGTTGAAGAGAATCCTGCTGCAGTATTAGAGAGGGAGAGATGATAAAACACCACTGGGGTGCTCCAGTGGGTTACAGCTCTTTATCAGCATCTAACTTACAAAGTATGGAAGGCTGTTCTTACCAGAAGCAAAGACAACTGATTGATTGTTTTGGAATCCTCTTTGTACATTTGATACTGGAGACAATCCACATGTCTATGTCCCTCTAGTCATTAAACTGTTGAAATGCCAGGATAGATCCCAGGAGAACTAGAGAAGTGATTAGGGTAATGCTGGAGACCCAGAGCACTGAACTGGGATGATCACAATTAAACTCTTCTGTAAGCAACAAGCCAGGAGCAAAGCCCCAAGAGACTCCTGCTCAGTTGTTGAACACAGCAGAGAGCTTTAATGGCAAGAGATAGCAAACCCTGATGTGCACATGCAAGCTGGTCATTGTCCATCTGGACAAAGGCAGTCTGCATGAAATCCTAGACTGAGGCCTATGAAGTAAGGATTGTCCTTTAAATTGCAGCTTCTTTCATAACTGGATCAAACAAAAAGGGGATTAGAGAAGGAGCATAACTTTGCTAAAGAGTCAGTTTTCTCAATCTGTGCCACTGTTGTCCAGCAAACTTCTCTTTGGATTAACCATAGACGTGTCGGGCTGGATGGGACCTCAAGAAGTCATTTATTCCAGCCCCCCTGCACTAAGGCAGGACTGAGTAAACCTAGACACTCCCTGACAGGTGTTTGTCCAACCTGTTCTTAAGAACCTCCATCGATGGGGATTCCACAACCTCCCTTGGTAACCTGTTCCAAAACTGAGTTATCCTTAGAGTTAGGAAGTGTTTCCTGATATCTGACCGAAATCTCCCTTGCTGCAGATTAAGCCCATTACTGCTTGTCCTACCTTCAGTGGATTTGGAGGACAATTGCTCACCAGCCAGCCACCTGGGAAAGAATTCTCCGTAGTAACTCAGAGCTCTCCCCATCTAGTGTCCATCACCAGCCGTTGGGGATATTTGCTACTAGCAGCTGCAGATGGGCCACATGCCATTGTAGACTGTGTCAACCAGGTGACTTGATAACCACCTGAACGTGCACTCCCAATGTGGTGCCTGGTCAAGAAAGCTGACATTATCCTTAGCTGTGCAAGTTGGAAAAAGAGTGTGAGTAGGGATGTGGTATTAAGTCTGTATTGGACTATAGTGAGACCATTACTGGAATATTGTGCACAGTGCAATACTTCAAAAAAAGATGTGGAAATATTGGACAGGGTTTAGAAAAGAGCCTCGAGGGATTTCAGGTCTGGAAAACTTGCTTTTTAATGAGCTTTGAAGTTCAATCTACTTAGCTTATCAAAGAGAAGACTAAAGGTTTTCTGCCCCCACTGCTTCCCTTGGAAGGCTCTTCTAGAACTTCCCTTCTCTGATGGTTAGAAACCTTTGTTTGATTCAAGCCTTTAACTTTTTGAAAGACCGTTTATGTCCATCTGTTCTTGTGTCCACATTGGGGCTTAACTTAAATAACTCCTCTCCCTCCCTGGTATTTATCCCTCTGATGTATTTATACAGAGCAATCGTATCTCCCCTCACCCTTTGTTTGGTTAGGCTGAACAAGCCAAGCTCTTTGAGTCTCCACTCACAGGGTAGGTTTTCCATTCCTCAGATCATGTTAGTAGTACTTCTCTGCACCTGTTCAAGTTTGAATTCATCTTTCTTAAACGTAGGAGACCAGAACTACACACAGTATTCCAGATGAGGTCTTAACAGTGCTTTGTATAATGATACTAACATTTCCCTGTCTCTAGTGGAAATAGCTCGCCTGATGCATCCTAGGACTGCATTAGCCTTTTTTATAGCCGCATCACATTGTTGATCACAGGATGACTGTAAGCTGCCAAATACATCCAGGTCTGTTTACAAAGACTAACTTCTTCTAACACCTGGAGGCTCATACAGCCCTTAGTGTGGATTCAGAAAGCTAGCATGTTGGCTGCTTTCGTATTCTGAGCTCTGACTTGCTAGAGATCATAAGGAAATCTTGTGACCTGCTTGTATCTTAATCTGTTGGAGCCCTGTGACAGGCAGGAACCTCACTGAAATGTCATGGGTATAAATCACAAATCCCATTCAGTAGATGCACGCCAGTGGTGGAGTTCAAAGAGCCAGCCATGGGCTGTGGCATACATCACTGCCTCAGCCTAGAAAACAGCTCAGTCATTCCTCATGAGTTTATCTGAAAGGGTTTGGCTGGAGATTAGCCCTGAGCAGAGACCGTGCGCTCACCCTCTATGAAACTGGTGTTAGTGTAGACCACCTACTTCACCAATAGCTCTCAAGCTGTGGAGTGTTGGGCAAACATACATATTTCATACCTGGGGAAACTGAAGCCCAGAGAGGTTAAGTGACTTGTGTGAGACCTGGGAGTAGAGCCCAGGTCTCAGACTCCCAATGCTGTGCCCTGCATCACCTCCTGAAGTTTCCAGAAAGGCGGTGTGGGCTCCTGGGTTGCACTCTCGCCTCCTGCCTGGCTATCAAAACGGATCTTACATCCAACAAGCAAGTCAGCTGGGTTAGTCACCTTGGTGCTCCGATCATCTCCATCGATATGCAGCAGGAGGAGTTCAGGGTAAATTGAAACTGAGCCTATGCAGACCTTTTAGGTAAGGACCACTGAACAGTTGTTGTGGGTGCAGTAAAACAGAAATGTGCCAGGAGTAGAGCTGGGTGAAATCCTTCAGACAAAAAACACAGATTCAGGTCAACAGAAACATTTCACAAATTGGTATTTAATTTGCTGAGTTGTTTCTGTTGGAGGGAAAAGTTGTTGTGTTTTTGTTTGTTTGTTTGTTTTAATTTTAGTTTATATTTAAAAATAAAAACGTCAAACGGAACAGTGCGTGTGAAACAAAATGTTAGATTCTGGTCAAACTTGATTTTTTTAACTTCAATTCATCCAAAAAGCAACTTGTATTTTGTTTTGGGTGAAACCAAAACAGTTCTCCACCTTGTTGGGCCACCAAACCAAAAAAACCCAAACCCAATTATTCACACAGCTCTAGCAAGGAGGCTGGAGGGGAGATAGACTATTTCAGCCCCCAAAAGCTCACAGCTTAGTTCTATACAAGATATAAATAGTAGTAACAAGACATCTGTCTAATCGTAAGCACCCTGGCGGGCCGGGCTGGTTTGTTTACCTGCCGCATCCACAGGTTCGGCTGATCGCGGCTCCCACTGGCCGTGGATCGCCACTCCAGGCCAATGGGGGTAGCGGGAAGCGCCGGCCAGCACATCCCTTGGCCGGCGCCACTTCCTGCAGCCCCCATTGACCTGGAGCGGCGAACCGCGGCCAATGGGAGCCACAATTGGCCGAACCTGCGGATGTAGCAGGTAAACAAACTGGCCCGGCCCGCCAGGATGCTTACCCTGGCGGATCGCGTGCCAAAGGTTGCCAATCTCTGGTATAAAATATTGTTGCCATGCTATGGGAATTGTAGAAGTCTTAGAGAGTAGCATAAAGAGACTATACAGAGACTTTTCTTGACACTTTAGGAGTTGAGTGGTAACAACAAACAAATTTAAAGTATCCTTGAGAAATTATCACCACATTAGGTTTATGGCTAACTTTATCTGAGCTCCAGTACAAAAACTCTGCCCCAAATATGGGCTCTTTCAGCACATATTGTAAGTGTGATATTGATTAATATTGCATTGTACTACTTAAAACTAGGGCTGTCAAGCAATTAAAAAGATGAGTCGTGCTGTTAAACAACAGTAGAATACCATTTATTTATTTTTTTAAATTGGATGTTTACTACACTTTCAAATATATTTTCAGTTACAACACAGTGTTCACTTTATATTTAGTTTTGATTAGAAATATTTGCACTGTAAAAAACAAAAACAAATGTTCAATTCACCTCCTTCAAGTACTGTGGTGCAATCTCTTTACTATGAAAGTTGAACTTACAAATGTAGAATTATGTACAAAAAAACCTCTGCATTCAAAAATAAAACAATGTAAAACTTTAGCGCCGACAAGTCCACTCAGTCCTACTTCTTATTCGGCCAATCGCTCAGACAAACCAGGTTGGTTACAATTTGCAGGAGATAATGCTGTCCGCTTCTTGTATACAATGTCACCTGAAAGTGAGAACAGGTGTTTGAGTGGCACTTTTGTAGCTGGCTTTGCAAGGCATTTACGTGCCACATATGCTAAACATTTGTATGCCCCTTCATGCTTCAACCACCATTCCAGAGGACATGCGTCCATGCTGATGACAGATTCTGCTTGATAATGATCCAAAGGAGTGCTGACTGACGCATGTTCATTTTCATCATCTGAGTCAGATGCTAGCAGCAGAAGGTTGATTTTCTTTTTTTGGTGGTTTGGGTTCTGTAGTTTCCGCATCAGAGTGTTGCTCTTTTAAGACTTCTAAAAGCATGCTCCACCCTCTCAGATTTTTGGACAGCACTTCAGATTCTTAAGCCTTCGGTCGAGTGCTGTAGCTATTTTTAGAAATCTCACATTGATACCTTCTTTGCGTTTTGTCAAATCTGCTGTGAAAGTGTTCTTAAAATGAACATGTGCTAGGTCATCATCCAAGACTGCTATAACATGAAATACATGCAGAATGCAGGTAAAACAAAGCAGGAGACATACAAGTCTCCTCCCAAGGAGTACAGTCACAAATTTAATTGACACATTCTTTTTTTTTTTTTTTAAATGAGCATCATCAGCATGGAAGCATGTCTTCTGGAATGGTGGCTGAAGCATGAAGGGGCATTCAAATGTTTAGCATATGTGGCATGTAAATGCCTTGCAATGCCAGCTACAACAGTGCCATTCAAACACCTGTTCTCACTTTCAGGTGACATTGTAAACAAGAAGCAGGCAGCATTATCTCCCATCAGTGTAAACAAACTTGTTTGTCTTAGCGATTGGCAGAATAAGAAGTAGGACTGAGTGGACTTGTAGGTGGTGGCGAGTGATGGGAGAGGGAGCAAATACCTGTAACTGTAAAAGTTAAAGAGAAGTTTTCTCTCTACACTGTAGCCCTGTTCCTCCACACATCTGCCCTCGTCCTCTGCTAATGTCACTCCCAATGGGTAACTACAGCAATGGGACTCAAATTCAAAATCTTGTTTAGAAAAGAATCCCCCATCCCAGAAATCTAAGGTAGCCTGAGCCAAGAATCCTCATTGCCTCTGCCCAGATGTAGCACATTAATCCGTACATTGAAATCCGGAGGGGTTGCTAGTAAAATTGGTTGGCATTCCCCCCCCCCCCCTTCATCTGAGTCTTCAGAAAGCGCTAAGCATGCCTGTGCTTTCTCTCCCCTCCTGCTACAGGACATCAATGCTTACAACGGTGATGAGCCCACAGAGAAGCTCCCCTTTCCCATAATTGCCGATGCAAAGCGGGAACTTTCAATCCAGTTGGGCATGTTGGACCCAGACGAGCGGGACAAGGAGGGCATGCCGCTGACAGCGCGTGTGGTGAGTACAGGCTGCATGTGGGGCACTAGTGTAGACCAGGTGTGGGCATGAATAGGGTTGGACGACACTGTGCCTAAGCCCCTGGTGCCTTGTCTGTACTAGCACACTACCCCGGTGCAGCAGCCTAAATAACTGGTCCATTGCATACTAGTGACTAGAGTAACTGCCTGGCTGGAGAATGGGGCAGATCTTCAAAGCAGTTCAGTGACTCCTGTGCTGCTGAGGTTTGCCAGTGGGGGGTTGGGTGGGTGAGCCCTCTCCTAGCTGTAGCTACCCTCCGTTGGAGCCCAGCCATGATGCTGGTCCGGAGCCAGTTGTAGCTGGGAGGCAGAAGCATGTTAGCTTGCTGATCCTGCACTGCTTTGCCCTGCTGAGAGCATGACGAGATCGGTAACACTCCTTGTCTGGGATCTCAAATGGGCAAGGAGTAGAACTAAACAGTTTTGTGACATTCCTTCTCCCCTCCAGCACTAGTATTAAAAGACTGTTATTGTCCCCTTTCAAGGTAGGGACCCGCAGAGGGAGGCGGCAGTAATGCTCTACACAGTAAAATAAACCACACACCTGAAATATTAGATACTGCATAAGAGCAGATGGCCACTTCCTTTGTATGTGGCTGCATCTTTCCTCTAAAAGAGATGAGACTGTTTTATAATAAACATAGTGCCATCAATGTAAATCGCACTTGTTCTGCCCTAAATGCTTACAGTCTAAAACGGACAGGACCCAGGACTGCCTTTCAGAAGAGAGAGAGCATGGGGATTATGGGTAGGAAGGATGGAGCACTGATTGCTTTGAAGGAGGCAGTGGGGTCGTTGATGGATGAGGGAGACTATCAGTACTAGAATACCAAGCCACATTTCAGTGAGACAACCTGACACTGTTAAATGCTTGTAGCTGATGTAAATTCAGGTTACTCTTCTATTCAGATTCCCAGAGTGTCTCCTTATGTGTCTCTGCTGTTCAGGTGTTTGTTTTCGGCCCAGATAAGAAGCTGAAACTGTCAATCCTCTACCCAGCAACCACTGGCAGAAATTTTGATGAGATCCTAAGAGTAGTGGATTCCCTGCAGCTGACTGCAAAGAACAAGGTTGCTACCCCAGTGGACTGGAAGGTAAATATCTGTAGAGCTACAACCCAGTGCTGTAGGGCAGCTCCGGGTGTAGAGAAGGACAGTTCCTAGAGCCTGTGTGCCCATTCTCAGGACAAGGTGAAGTTAGGTAGTTATCACACAGAGGATGTGCTAAGAGACATGGATCGTGAGAATCCCTGCAATCCTGGGACATGCTAAGAGCACACCATGAGGCTGAGAAGAAGCTGGCTGGGAGAATTCGGACGAGTGTTTCATCGGAATTTGCTGATTTGGCAAAATCAGACTTTTGTTGCAACAGTCCAATTTCATCGACGTTGCAATGGAAACCAGGCATGCAGATTGCCCCAGGGCTGGGACTCCATTCCCTGGGGTGGAAAATTTGAGTTTTAATTCCTAACCAGAGCAAACCAGATCTCAAAATAGCACAATCCTCCATGAAACGGAATTATCTTTCTCCAAACAGCTCTGCTGAGAGGTGTAGTAACAGTGGGAAAATAACGGTAACAACAGCACTGCCCGCATTGCGCTCGTTAAGAGTCACACGTGGCTGGTTTAGAGATAATAAATTACTGTTTCTCCCCCTGTTATCAGTGTGGGCTTTGCAAGGCTAGGGCAGAGTGAGCCGGATTCTGCTCCTGCTTCTGCATGATAAGCAGAATTGTTCTGCCAGTTGCAGAGCCCAGTGCTGCCCTGGTTTCAGAAAAACCTCTCTTGCAAACAAACCATCTGGAATCCTCCAGAGCCCATCACTGTGACACCCCACGAAGGGGTTTTGTCTTTCTTAATCTGAGGAGGGAGACCCATGTTGTCCTAAAGAAGTTGACCATTCTGATGCTTGCTTATGTTATCTGCATCAAAAAGAAGTCTCGTTTGATCCATGGTATCTTATAGACCCATCTAGGTCACTTTACCTAATGGAAAAATCTTCATAGCTTTTCATGATTAAACTAAACCGCTCTCTCCTGACCTGCATAACACTGGGAAGACTCTCTTTTTTTCATCCTAATTATGAAGCACTCTTTAAAACCCAGCTGAGTACCACTATGGGTAACTGCTGCCTTATTAAAGTGAGATCTTCTGGTGCAGGTAAAATCCACTGTCTGGCTGTGGGCATCCTTCTGACTTGTTACCATCTTAATGAACTAGCTAGAGTTCATCACTGGCCTTGGACTCAGGACTGCTTAAGGGTAACAGAGCTGTACTGCTCATGGAGTGTTGCTTTTAGCTTTAATAGAGGCTGACGTCTTAGAACTCTGATCCTCCTGCTTCAGTCCTCACAGCTGCTGTGAAATGCCCTGTAGCTGGGGAGTGTGGTAAAAGTCTCAGTAGACACTGGGTTTGTTACATGGTGTTACAGCATCAGCTAAGCTTCCAAAAAGGACTCATGACTGACTGAGCTTCCACCTCCCGACTCTTCAGCTTTGCATTGGTGATGCAGGTGTTCCCTGTGCATTCATGCAAAGCGCATGTTTTTATACTGCTCCTATTGCTGGGGTGTCCATAAAGGACCAAAGGCAAAAGTTTTCTTTGCTGCTTCTCTGGGCCTGAGGTGTGTGTGGCTTTGTGAAAGTTTTATTTTGAGAAGGGAATTCACAAAAGCTGGGGGACTTAATGGAAATTCTACCCTCTTTGGGGAGATTTAGGTGATGTCTACACAGGCACTCACTGCAGTATAACTTATGTCATTTGGGTGTGAAAAAGTCACCCCCTTGAGCAACATAAGTGACAAGGACCTAAGCACCCGTGTGGGCAGCGCGATGTCTGTGGGAGAGCTTCTCCTGCTAACCCAGCTCCCACGCTCACGGGGGTGGAGTAGTTAAGTCGACAGAGCTCCCTCCCATCCGCTTGGAGAGGTTGCATTAGAGAGCTTACAGTGGCGCAACTGCATCGCTGCAGCTCCACTCTTCTAGCCCAGGGGTCAGCTTCCTCCTTGTGAGCAGATCAGTGGTGATGACCAGGTGAGTTGTATTGTTGCATAGGAACTGATCAGCAAGCCAGTGTAACGTGTTCCCTGGTTGGAAGACAGGTGGCAGGCAAGAGTGTAAAAATGAAGTCCCCCTATTTTCCCTTTACACCCTTCTGTAAGTTACTTATCTGGCTGCACCTACCTCCTTTGCTGCTGCAGTGTTACTTGTCCTGTGCACCAGCTGACTGCCGAATTGGTCCAAGTTACATTACTGATGCCTGTCTCGCACATACCCCATCTCCATTCAAGTCACTGCTGAATATGTCCCAGAGGCTTCATGGCAGCCGGACGTCTTGCTGCACATCTGAATATGGCACAGTGGGCTCAAGAGTAGATTCATTTTCCACTTCTGCCTCGGTGGGGGTAACACCTCTTTTGTAGCTGGTGAAGTTTAACACTGGTGTTGAGGGTGGCATGTGCACATCAGTGTATACAGTGACTAAGGTCTTAATAAAAAAGGGGGGTGGGTGGTTAAAGTCTCGCTTCTTAGCGCAGACACCTTGTAGAGTCCCTCGATTTCTCTGCTTCACTAAAATATTCCCTGTTTCTTACCAGAGTGGAGACCGTGTCATGGTTATTCCCAGCATGCCAGATGACGAGGCCAAAAAGCTGTTTCCTGAAGGAATCTTCACCAAGGAACTCCCGTCGGGCAAGAAGTATCTCCGCTACACCCCGCAGCCTTAGAGCACGTCGCTGCCCCAGAGATACCAGACTGCCGATCATGTGATTTTTAGCAGAGCCGTTCGCCTTGGGGTGGCCTGCGTGGGATGGGGAGCACAGACAGAGGCTGCTCCAGGGAGTAGTTGTCAGAACAGTTAAACTGACAGCTGCTGTGCCTGGTGTTAGCTTCTCAGGGAGCCTTCCTGGGGCTGACTCAGAGTTGATTAGTGTCATGGCAGATGCTGGTTCTGATAAGCCATGTGATCAGCAGCCTTGTATTGTCTGCTTGAAACCAGCTGGGCTGCAGCAGTACAATATGAAATTTTTGATCATTCATTCACTTGGTACTCACCCCACACACCTTTAGTTAGAAAACTGAAATGTGTCTACTCCGTTGGGAACTGCTAAACATGTGGAAGAGAATGATGGATTTGTAATAGTGCTGAATGCTTGTTCTCTTGGGTCTCTCCTGTTTAATATTGGTGCTGGGGCAGGCTGGAAACACTTCAGGCTTCAAAAGGAAGATCCCATCCTACAATGAGATGCACTCCTGCAAGTAATGATTCACAATGTGACAAAGATTATCAAAGTAGCTGCAGCTGGGCTGTGAGAATTGCTGAATAAGCAGCCAAAATTGGATGGGGTGGTAGGTCATGAATTGTCCACGCTGCCATGTGCCTTTAGAACTAAAATTACTCTAACTTGTTAATCAAAAACTTACTTTGATAAGTTTGTTACCAAAGCCGATGCTGCATTAGAGGAGCTGTAGGCTCCTCTGTAGTTACATGGCTTTATTACAAATTTGTATTTTTCATGGGGTTTTTTGCTTAGATAGTTGCCTGATTTTTGCTTTCTTGGAGGGGGGGAATTCAACAAATAAAGCCACATTTACCAGAAGTGTGTGTAGTGTGTTTTATCTCCCCCTTACCTCAGCATTCCAACATGCACCATTAGGCTCAAAATAGATTTGTAACATGGCCTTGCCTGGTGGAGTTGTGCAATGGAGACTTACACAGGTAACCAGAGCTCTGGATTCATGCCAGCATGGTAGTATTTGCCATCCTAATCACTTAGTAAATGAAGCAATTATCTCAAAATACAGGAGACTCAACAAAAGCAACTAATAGGATTATCTTTACACATTGTACCTTTGTACCCTTACTTTCTGAATCTGGCTGAACCCACCCTCTTGTTTGCCCTGGAGAGGTGTTGTATTCCTTTCCATGGAGTATATGAGCCCAAAGAGCCAAAGTTGTTAACATGACCCTGAAGCTGACAAACATTAAAAAGTTTTAAACAGAGGGGACAGGGTTTGGAAACCAGAGACTTTGCCATTCCGCAGGCTAAACAATAGAAACAAATGCTAAAGCCTGGAGAGTCGTTGACTGGGATACACAAGAGAAAAGGAGCTAAAACAAGTCATAAGGCACTTACCTGGGAAAGAGTCTGTAAAACAAAGTTAGGTTTTGGTTATCAAATTCCCATTTAAAGAGAGATGATACCAGGTAGTCTTATTTAATCAGACATCCCTTCTTGAGGGCAGGGGGGGATGGGCTTGTTTTGTTGCTCAGTTGCAAGATGTTAAGAATGGTCACCTTTCCTAATCGACAGAGAGAGAGAGGCAGGGTAGTAAAGATGGAGGAAATACAGCTTTGTTGATGTTCCCAGGGCTTCAGGCAGCAGGTCAGCTACAGCCCCCTCACCCCCCCTTGCCTCTCATATATGGGACCAACACAGCTACAAAGCCACTACCTGCTCCCAAGTGTCCTCTAGGGCGGCCCTAGCAGTATTATGAGGGAGCTATTCCAAGAGCCGGTTGAAACTTTTTCAAGTTATTTCCCCCCAAAAATGAGATTTTTTTTTTTACCATACTTTTTTATGTCAATTTTTGACACCTTTTCCAGTGTTTTAAAAAATGATCCATTTATTACTGATTGAAAATGGGGGTTCCAGCCTGGCCTCTGCTTGCAAGGGGCTGTCAAACCAGCCAGGCTCACCAGGCCATGCAGCATGTTCTAGCCGTGGCCCTGTGTGAGAAGGGGTGGTACAGACCCAGGGACTCCTGCACCAGAGCATCTCCAGCTGCCCTCTTCAGGCCCATGTAAGTCTCCCTTTGTGCCACCAGAGCAGCTTAAAGCTTTTGTGCCAGGATCTGGCCCCAGGTGTCTGACGAAAGGAGATACACACTCATTAAGCATTGTGGCCGTCCCCTACAGCCTGGCTCCCTATCTGCCCTCCCAGGGCAGTCCTGCTGCCAGCGGGCCCAGCCCTCTCTCCCCAAGGACTGGAGTTTGGCCCTTGCTGACCAGGTTAGAGATGGGGCAGGGGCAGGTGGGGGAAGGCTCTTGCTGAGCTGCCTCTCACCTTTAGAGCTGGCCCGGAGCACTTCTATCTCCAGATCGTCAGAGGAAAACAAGAAAACTAAATTAGTTCACCTACAAGACAGAGCCTGAGCCTGCAACTCCCTTGAACTGCCTGGGGGTAGCAAGGTTGGAGCCTCATCAGGGAATAAAGAGAATTGGCCCAAGCTGGATAATAATGAACTTATCTGGTTCTCTTCGTCACTGCCTTAAAAAGGAGGTGAGTGTTTCACCAGTGGGGAAACTGAGACACAGAGCAGGGAAGTGACTTGCCCAAAGTCACCCAGCAGACCAGGGGCAGAGCTGGAACTAGAACGTATGGATTGTGAGGGTTCAGGGCTCTTTCTGCTAGGCCACACTGCCTCCCTTAACCTTATATTGGATCAGCACCACCTAAATTTGAGTATGCCGGCCAGGTAATATTCTGGAAAGCATCGTTCTGGGGGCTCCTTGGGCTTTTCAGAGCTGTATCCCAGAGGCAGCTGCTGCTGTCCTGGCGGTATTACCCATTTATCAGGGGAACAGCTTCAGGTCTCAAACTCCTAAACTGCATTCCCGGCAGTATCCAGGCGATGGCACCAGCGTAGCACAGATGCTGCCTAGGCCAGGTTTAGTTGGGAAGTGGGACTAGATTGCTTTTAAAATTTTAAATTAATTTAAAATTAATAAATTTGTTAGTCTCTAAGGTGCCACAAGTACTCCTGTTATTTTTGCGGATACAGACTAACACGGCTGCTACTCTGAAACCTTTTAAAATTCTGTTGCTTTTACCATGTTCCCCTACTTAGCTAAAAAGCATTTCAGAGTTCCTCCTTTTCCTCTTGCGTATTGCTAACATTTGCCTGTTATGATGTTCCACCTATTTTTAAATGGAGTTTGTATTACAAAAAATAATACAACAATAATTTCTTGGTGTTCATCAGGGTTGGGCCACTTTTTAATCCAACTACAGGATCTGAACTTGAATTCTCTCCATATGCTATGAGATGTAAATCCTTCAGATCTGGCTTTGGTAGATCCATTTCCCAGTTACAGAGAAATAGCTGCAAGACCCTGATCCTTGCTCCAGAGTAGAGAAAGATTTTTGGGGGAAGGGGAACTCAGACCTATTACAAACATTTGGGTGACAGGCCTAGGATACGTAGTTCAAAGCACTGGTCCATAAAGGGTGGACCATTTTGAACCAGTTGATTGTCCTTTTTAGCCAAGCCCTTAATAAAACACAAAGGTTGCTTCAATCCTTTGGGAAAGGCTCCTTTGTAGTGTTTTAAGTTCCTTTCATGCCTCGCTGTGACATTTGCAGCACAGTGAGGAAAACCAACTAACTGGAACATACACAGAATCATAGAACCAGAGGGTTAGAAGGGACCACAAGGGTCATCTAGTCTAACTCTCTGCCAAGATGCAGGATACGTACATGCTTCACTTGAAGCCCATGAGCAGTGAGTCCCATTGACTATGACTGAAAAACTCATGTACTTAAAGCTGCTTGTGTAAATCTGTTTCCGGACTGAAGCCTACAATTTTTACGGTGTGATTTCTTTTCTGGATCAAACTTGAGAGGCACCTTGCCCTTTGAAATCAAGAGACCTATGGCCCAGATTCAAAGCCGGTGTTAGCCACCATACCTTAATGGATTGCAGTGGAGCCTTGCCAATTTACAGCAGCTGAGGATCCAGCCTTTCATATCTGACTGATCTAGGTTTTCTAGGTGACTTTTTCAGTGCAATGCAAGCAAACAGAGACTATGTTAAAATTCCCCAGAATTCAGAGTTATCTGCCCACCGGAAAATTCCAGAGCAAGAGAACTGCTTCAAAACTAGGTGTAGAAGATTTCACATTTATTTTCAAGGGCACCTGCAGTCGGAGAGGATATGTCTTAGTGGGATGAAGCTGGGCTGCTTACAAATTTTTGCTTCCAGTCAATATAAAGTTAAATGGACTGTATATGTGCCATAAAGGAGGGGAGTAGAGGAAAGATAAAGGAGAGTCACTTCTAGTGGCAAAGGGGGCGGGGGAGGATCTTGCTTCTTGGTGTTAAATGGTTAGAGCAGGGGTGGCCAACCTGTGGCTCTGGAGCCACATGCAGCTCTTCAGAAGTTAATATGTGGCTCCTTGTATAGGCACTGACTCCAGGGCTGGAGCTACAGGTGCCAACTTTCCACTGCTCAACCCCTGGCTCTGCCACAGGCCCTGCCCCCACTCCACCCCTTCCCGCCCCCTCCCCTGAGCCTGCAGTGCCCTTGCTCCTCCCCCTCCCCCCCAGAGCCTCCTGCACGCCACGAAATAGCTGATGAGGAGGTGCGGGGAGGGAGGAGGAGGTGCTGATCGGCGGGGCAGCTGGTGGGCGGGAGGCGCTGGGAGCTGATGGGGGGCTGCTGATGTATTACTGTGGCTCTTTGGCAATGTACATTGGTAAATTCTGGCTCCTTCTCTGGCTCAGGTTGGCCACCCCGGGTTAGAGCTTTGAAAGGCCACTAGAGTATAGGGTGACCAGATGTCCTGATTTTATAGGGACGGTCCCGATTTTTGGGTCTTTTTCTTATATAGGCTCCTATTACCCCCCACCCACGTCCTGATTTTTCACATTTGCTGTCTGGTCGCCCTACTAGAGAAATAGCGGCAAAGAAAAAATTAAATCAAAGCATAGTTAGTCAGAGTATTCTCGTGGCTGAATGGTTTGTGGCAGGAACTGAGCCCAAGACCAGGCTAGAAGAACATGCAGGCCCTTTAGCTGGAGAAGTAAAGGGTCATCACTAGGGGCTGCCACGGGGGAAATGGGGAATGCCGGTGGGTTAGGTGTGGGGGAGAGGGAAAAGGTCATTTATTTGTGGTAGGGGGCACTGAGTCTGTGCTGGGGGGTTAATCACATGCCCTGATGTCCCCCGCCATCTGAGACACAGACATTAAGTGTGTTCCCTAGCCACATCAGTGCTAGCAGTGGGATCAGAACCCAAATTCTGTATCCACAATCCCCGG